AAAGTTTAGCCTCATCCTAGAAAGTAAATGGTACTCAGTTTCCTCAATTATTATAACTACATAGCTTAAAATTAATCATAATCTTTTCCCCCCTAAGGTATAACTTCACATCAGGCACTTAGCTACAAGAAGATCAAAAAGAGAAAAGTGAGCCATATCTTCCATTATGAAAAAAAAACAAAACAAAACACAAAAAACCAACAACAAACACCAGGCTTGTGTGTTGGGTAGATTGAACATAAATTATGCTCAGATGCACATGCTAGAAAAGGACTAAAGATAGACACAAAAGGCCAAAGCTAGAGATGACAGTGATAGGAACAGTCCAGAAGTTCCTTCCTTACTTTGTCCTGCTCCTAAACAGGTTCTATCAGAATAAATTCCAATCAATCAATCAACATTTATTAAGTGCCTACAATGTGCTAAGCACTGTGCTAAGTGCCAGGGATACAAAAGAGGCAAAAGACAGTCCCTGACCTCAAGGAGTTTACAATCTAATAAGGGAGCCAATATGCAATACATGTATATATATATATAATATATATATATGCAATTATAAATATGTATATGTAAATCTATTATAAACTATATAATATATTATAAATTATATAATATAAATTATACATGTATAATATATAAATAAAAATACACACACAGAGCAAACTAAATACAAGATAGGAAATAATTGACAGAGGAGAGGTACTAGAATTAAGAGAGGTTGGGTAAGGTTTTCTGTAGAAGTCTTTCTCCCATGATCTGCCTTAAAATGAATAATGCCTTTTTCTATTGTTTCCCATTTAAATGGGGCAGCTAGATGGTGCAGTAGGTACAATGCTGGGCCTGGAGTCAGGAAGACCTGAGTTCAAGTTCAGCCTCAGATACTTATTAGCTGTGTGACCCTGGGCAAATCACTTAACCCTGTTTGCCTCAGTTTTCTCATCTGTAAAAATGAGCTGGAGAAGGAAATGGCACACCACTTACTTCAGTATCTTTGCCAGGAAAATTCCAAATGGGGTCACAAAGAGTTGGACACAACCGAAACAATTGAACAACAACAACTACCATGTGAAGTAGACATTGAACTCTTCTCCAAGTAGCTGCTTCAATAACTGAAAGACAAGTCTCAAAATCACAGCTGGACCCTCTCAGAGAGAGCAAGAGGGCACACACAGTCTGAGGCAGGAGGGAAGTAGGAGTATGGAGCCAAGCCAATGTGTAGGCTAGAGTTTCTTGGTAAAACCATTAAGAGGAAAGAGGATTAGTTCCCTGTTTTTTTGTATCCCATGGCAACTATTACAGAGAGAGAACTACTATATTTAAACACATAAAAAAAACCATTGCATTTTCAAAGAGAACATACAGAAGAGCTATAATATATTGTAATAGAAATACCAGCAGGACATTTCGGAACTTCCATTTATGATATGCTAATATCCTTCATCAGTCAGGCCCATAACAAAACCAATGAGTATGGTAATGGTCCATTAATGCACACCCTGGAGCCTCTCCCTGCTCACCCAATGGGAAATAGGTCTTACTGAATTTCTCCAGCTTAGAGAAAGATTATAGCTTTTCCTCATATCTTATTTTTGTAAATTCTGCTTTAAGGCCCATTAAGTATATCTTATGCAACCTTAAAGTAAACTTGCTTTATATAGGGACTGGATCAAACAGATTTTCTCTGGAACCTACAGTCTTAAAACACTGATATCTGGAAAGATCTAAAAATTCAGAAATATATTTTTACCTTCCTAGTCTGATTATGTGAATTTATGTAGCATGCAAAGGAGAGAGACTGTGAGAGTGAAAGAGAAAATTTTACAGAGCAAAGGAGGAAAATATTCTCTGTCATAGCTCTGTTCAACAAAGGCAGTTTTATATGGCTTATGTGTACATATTAATACAAATATCTGGCTATTCAACATATGGTTATAGGTCCCCTTCAGTGAGATGGATGGAGAGATTCTTAGGATGTGAGGATTGCATAATTTAAGATTAAATGAAGTTGATATCACAAATGGGCATATTTTTCACATCAGGATTAAAATCCCATCCTGAAATTACCTGGGAAAACTATAAAATTGGAGAATACTATATACTATATATATTGGAGAATAACTAGATCTCAGATTAGTGTGAATAATGAATCCCCTAAAGTGGTCACATTAATTGAATTTTTACTGTATGTTTCCATTGAGTTGGAACCAATTGCCATACTTTACATAATTATATCTTCAAATTGTACAAATATGATATGACCACTTCAGGAGATTGAATTCATTCTTCCTATTAACTGGGACACAGCTTTTACATGCTATAAAGCAGCGCCTTCTCAGAACAAATGCACACAAAGGTTATAATAATTTCCTTCCTTAATCAAACTTTAAACTTTATTATGATATCTCACAGACCAGGATATTTTCTCCGTTGCCTAAATGTTTTCTCACTCAGTTCCATTCTCTGCTTCTAATAACTCAGTATCAGACAGCCAGAGCTGCAAAGGACCCTAATTAGAAGCCATCTAATCCAACTCTCTCATTTTAGAGATGAGGGAACCTAGGCAAAGAGACTCAGAGGTAAGATTTGACCCTTACATCTCCTCTCATATAAGAGCCAGTGTACTCCTTCTACTATGCCGTACTGCCACCAAAGTTAGTCTGTTGAACCAAACTAAATAATTACTTTTTGATATTTTATTTCTATATAGACACACAAATACATGAATGTATGTGTGCATATATAATTTTCCATTTTTCAAAAAAACAAATTTAAAATAATTTCATTTATTCTCTAAAATCAGTTACCTCCAAGCCTCTGTTTACTCCTTTCATTCTCCCCTAAACTTCTCCCATGTGGTCTGTATAGCACAGAACAGAAATTTCCCATGGTGGGTAAAGCATACTCAAGTACAGGCTCATAAGAATTATTTCCTCTACTCCACGACCTCCCTGCTCATTTCTTTGATGTATGTTTATATGAGGCAGCTGGTATATACACATTTAGAGTTTAAATGTAATCTTGATCTTCCTGCTGGCCAATCATTCATTTATCGCGTTGTTCTGGCTTCCCTGCCTCTCCCCAGAGCACAGAAAGGGACCTTTAACCAATGACAATCTGTGTCATTGTGTCTCCTATAGAATGATTCCTTGTGTACTCTGATAGTTTTTAGATTCATTCTAGTTTAAGATTCATTATCCTGCAATTCACAATCAGTGTATTCAAGATTAAGATGTGATCTTAATCATAGACTACTGCAGCATTTTTTTTAAACTGTAGGTCGTGATCCCATATGGGTCACAAAAAAATTTGGCAACAGTAAAAGGTTTCTGAACAATCAAGGACTAAAAATTAATTAAAAATCAAACACTTAATGAATCCAAAGTGTTTCTGGCAGCACTTGCCCATGTTACACTGTGCAACTTCACTTCAGCCTTGGTTCTAGACACAAAGCATATTCACACTTCGCAGTGCGAATACCATCATGCCATGCAATGCCAACAAACGCTGCTGAAACTCAAAAAGGGGCAAAAAGGGGGTCCTGAATGAAAAAAGTTTAAGAAGCCCTGGACTAGACCAATTAATGACTAACCAAAAGCAAGTCACTGATAAAGGAGATGGGGTTGAAGAAAGGCAGAGCCCAAGAGAGAGCTATTAAAAACTGTATCAAAGAAGACTAGATTTAAAAAACCTGCACATCATTCCTCTATTCCAAACTGGTAGTGATCACATCCTTATCTGTAGTTATTGAAAATCATTTGTACTTTTTCTGGGGGGTCGGGGGGGATGAATTTAGAATCCCAAAAGTAATTTCATCAGCGTAAGGAACTAACGGTATAGAAACTCCTTCTACTAATGCTATAACCCGTGTCTTAGGCTTAGAGGACTGGGAAGTTAAAGAACTTGCCTAAAATAGTAAGTTTGAGAATCCTGTCTCATATATTTTCATGTGACTCTGGGCAAGTTACTTTACTTCTGTCTGCCTCAGTTTCCTAATCTGTAAAATGGGGATAAAATTATATACCTCCCAGGTTTGTGAGGATCAAGTGAGAGGTCTTTGTAGAGTGCTTTTACAAATCTTAAAAGTTATATAAATGTTAGTTATTATTATCATTATTATTAAGCAAAACTTTAACCCAGGTCCTTCCTGACTCTAGGGCCAGTCCTCTATCCACCAAGTCATGTGCCCTTAATTTATATTATCAAAGTTTGAATTTGGATTTTAGACATTTATATGCACATCCTATATCTCCTCATAGACTGTAAGCTCCTGGAGGTTAGAAGCCATGTCTCATCTTCATATGTTCCCTGGCACCTAGTGTTGGGGATGGTACAGAAGTGATTTTCCATTTTATTGAACGCTGAATGATTCTCACTCCTCTCCTATTCTCTCTGTAATCAATCATTTCCATTTGGATGACTACTTTTACTTCAATATTGTCTCAAGTTATGCTTAAGATGTGTTTTCTTTCTCTTTAAAAATAAGTTATCCCCAAACCAATTATTATTTAGCCTTCTAGAATTTAAACACATTTTTAAAAAGAGCCCTTACACTATGTTCACTTAGTAAATTTGACTAGCACTGACAGCAGTCTAGGTCAAATGTCAAACACCCCTGTGTGCCCCAACCAGATTAAAATGTAACTGGGAAATGTTAACAAAATAAATAGAAATATAACAGAGAGAATGTATTTTGTTATTTTCTACGTCAATACGGGGCAACAGGGATCTGTTCCTACTTGAGTTTGACACCACTGGCTTAGGGCATCTTTAGCAATGAAAATACCTTCACCAAGAAGGGTATGTGGAAGAAATGCCAATGATTAGATGGTAAGAGTCTGAATAATTCACTGATAGCCAGTGTTTTAATAAATATTTTTAAATAAATGTTTCTTTCTAGATTGCCTGGAAGGCAGGCTCACTGTTATGCAATTAGAGGTCAGAAAGCCCAAGTAAAGAATAACAGCATAGAAAGAGGGAATATTGCCCTTGTCTATCCATACCTCTGATTCCTGTAGGCTACCACGATTTAAGCACACCATGTCAGGGCAAGTGATGGGAGACCCACATCCTTCTCGAATTGCCAGCTGTGTGTATTGTTTCAGGCACTAGAAATGGACAGAAAAAAAAAAATCAAGCCACTGAAATAACGCATTCTAAGAGCACAGAAGTTGCTGACGAAAACCATCATTATAATCATCTCTGTTTCCTTACTTGGCAGTCCTGGGGATCAAATCCTCAGAAAACAAATGATTACAAGTATGAATACTAGAAATGACAACTTTGGATAGAATGCATAAAAGAGCAATTAATTATTCATAACTTCATCCTTAAGGTATTAAGTTTGTTCAAGGCCACTAGTAAAAGCTTTATATGCTAACACATCTTGTCCACATGCAGCCTAGGCTAAGTAAAGGAAGACCTCTCCTTTACTTTAATGGGAAAAAAGGAACAACAAAACTCTCTTCTGCACTTTAGTTAGGTGGCACAGTGAATAGAAAGCTAGGCCTGGAGTTAGGAAGACATGAGTTCAAATACAGTCTCAGACCCTTCCTAGCTGTTTGATCCTGGGCAAGACTCATAACCTTGGTTTGCCTCAGTTTCCTCAACTGTAAAAAAAAAAGGGATAATAATAGCACCTACCTCCCAAGTTTGTTGTGAGGATCAATTGGATTAATAATTATAAAGTGCTTAGCACAGTGCCTGGCACATAGTAAGTGTTATAAATGCTTATTTCACTTATACATATTCCTAATTCAGCTGTTTATCCAACAGCCCTCTCCATGCTTGGGTTGCCTAGAACCAGAACAAAGAACACTGCACTGCTCAGTGAAGGTTAGCCTTAAACAAAGGCAAAATTGGCAGTCATGTAAGTATTGTGATTTGAGAAGCATTGAAAACGGCACTTCAGGGGCAGCTAGTTGGTGCAGGGGATAGAGCACCTGCCCTGAAGTCAGGAGGACTTGAGTTCAAATGCGGCCTCAGACCAAACACTTAACACTTACTAGCTGTGTGACCCTGGGCAAGTCACTTACCCCCAATTGCCTTAAAAAAAAAAGGAAAGAAAGAAATAAACTTTAGGAAAAAAAAAGAAAAGGACACTTGGCCAAAAATCTCTCTTCCATCCACTTGACATAGGTAGCTGAAATTTACTCTTGGAGGTTCAATCCTTGAGACTGGAATACTGCCATCTCTTAAGACCATTCTTTTAATTTAATTCAAAGAACACTTATTAAGTGCCTACTACATTCAAATATCCCAGAGAAGATAACCCATGAATCTATAATCAATCATTAACACCTCAGATTAAATTGGTTTATAGAACTGCTTTCTTTCTTGACAGTTAACTGAAGATATGAAATTTTTTTGATATGAAAACTGTATTATTGAGATAAAGGTAAGAGCAGCATGAGGAAGAAGGTAGGGTAATTTTGAGGCATGGGACACTAGCTAAGACATGCCCAGGTAAGTTACCACACTGGGTAGCATGAGGGTACAGGTTGTCTGGGTGGTAGGGCACTATAACAGAGAAGGGAAAAAGAGTATGGGAGGATGCCAGTCATGTTGCAATTTTACCTAGGCTTAGCTTGGACCTCAGCTGTGTTGTTTAAATGGTAGAAGGGGGAACCTGATATTACAAAGACTACTAACTCTCCCCACCTTCCAACAAGTATCAAACAAGAAATTCAAGGAAGCAATTTAAACAAAAAAAAGTCAGCATTCCCAAAGTAGTTGCCTACTTTTGACCAACAAGTGTCTAAAACAAACCCACCATTTGATTATTTTTCCAAACAAGTAATGAAGAACCTAAGTCTTCATTATTTCAATGCATCTATAGATTTGATGAAGCAGCAAGACAGCACAGTGGATAGAGGGCTAGGCCTGGAGTTAGGAAGACTAATCTTCCTGAGTTCAAATCTTGCCTCAGACACTTACCTGCTGTCTGACCCTGGGCAAGTCACTTAACCCTTTTGCCTCAGTTTTCTCATCTATAAAATGAGCTGGAGAAGCAAACTACTCCATTATCTTTGCCCAGAAACTCCAAATGGGGTCACAAAGAGGCAAATGTGACTGAAAAAGACCGAACAACTACAGATTTGATAAGCATGGCTATCTTCTCTGCCAATGCAGATCACAATGTGGTCATCCATCTCAGTCTCTATAATTCTTGTCCATCTTGTCCCATAAAGGATTTACCCAATATGAATCCCAGTGCAGCCCTAGGACTGTCTATCTATTTTCTCTCTTTTTTCTCCAGAGCAGTCTACCTCCTTGTCTATTTAGCCACAGGGTAGAACAAGGATGAATAGGTAGAAATTACAGGGAGGCAGATTTCATCTCAACATAATTTTTTCTTTAACAAGACACTAGAAAGGTAGCAGGGTTCAGTGCTTCAGCATCAGGAACATCTAGGTTCATGAAATCTCTCCTCCATTTCACATTGGCTTTGCAACACAGGACAAATCACTTAATCTCTCAGAGCCCTAGGGAGAAGGAATTTCCTCACAAACCACTCCCTGTACTCATGAAATGATCCACTGAGTACAGCAATAACAAAATATATTCAAAAGTAAAATGGTTTTCCTGGTAGACCCTGAGTTCCCCATCATGAGTAGTCTTTAAGCTGGGGCCAAATGACTTTCTTGTTGGGGATAGTAGGCTGTATTTGTGATATGGGAAAATCTGAGGTGACTTTCAACTCAAATTTTACTCTTTTGCTTCATGGTAACAATCTAAAAATTAACATCTGCCTTTAAGCTCCTAAGAAAAGTCTAGGGGCAGGTAGGTGGTGAAGTGGATAAAGCACCAGCCCTGGAGTCAGGAGGACCAGAGTTCAAATCTGGCCTCAGACACATAACACTTACTAGCTGTGTGACACTGGGCAAGGCACTTAACCCCATTGCCTAGTAAAGAGGAAAAAAAAAATCTGAGTGATAGTTGAGCTCCTTGATGGCAGAGACTGTTTTGTTTTCATATTTGGGTCCCCAGTACCTAGCACAGTATTTGGAATACAGTGGGTACTTCATAAATGCTTGCCACATTGTTAAATAAATGATACCCATTCCCCCCCCCAGGTAATTAGGTCATAATCCATAAACAGGACATCCTAGCTCTAATCCATTCTGAGAAAAAGAAATGTGTTTTCTTTGGGATTAGTCTCAAAATACTTCCAACCCAAGGAAAGCTTACTGTGGGAAGCTTTTTGTGAATAAACAGGCCATTTATCAGGGAAATTAAATCCTGCTCCTCACCATAGTATTAAAGACTATCTATGTTATAAGCCATGCCATATACAGAAAGCTATCTCTCTGCATTTGTCAGATCCATTTGTAAACGGTCAGGTGGGTCCTACTCACTTTCAGAGAAACATTAATACCATTAGCTCTGATTTTGTTTAAGCAAGATAACCAAACCCTTGTCCAATTATGAACTAGTTATGTCGCCTTTCAACTGAGTAAAATCAAATTCTCAAAACCCGTAGGCCTAAGAGGTCCATTACTTTCTTTGTTTTGATCAGTCAAGTCAGGCATTTGAGGCCAGAACCAGAGACCCTGTCCTGGATGTTTTAACTCTGTTATCTCCCAAACTTTGGGTCAGGAGTGCCACTGTCATGATTGGTGGCTGCCTCTTCAGGCTTCACTTCACTCCCTATGCCCCTTCCCTCACTCCAATCCTCAAATCAGGCCAATCTACTCCCCAGAGGCCCAACTCCTGGTAATTTTACTAGTTTTCCAAAAAAGGGGCAGGGTAGATCTTCCTGGATACACTCCACTATGTGTGTTGTCTGACCTTATTAGTAAGGGTTTCTGAGAAGGATGAGAGGACTTAGGGAACAACTTTTAAAAATTAAATAAAAGATTACAATGATGAAAAAAGTGGGCAGTAATTGGAGACCTCTATGGCTATAGAGTAAAATTCAGATTAAAAATAGGGTGAGGAAATTAAGCAAAGCTAGGTACCTGAGAAGAAATAATCAAAAATCATAGAAGAGAGCTGGCCATAAGAACAGGCAACAAGTGTGACTTAGAACCTCACTTTCAGCTAGTATAAAGACCACGAGGGAGTTTTTCACTGATCTTCATGGAATGAAGGCAGCTAGGTGGCACAGTGGACAGACTCACAGGTCTAAAGTCAGGAAAACCTAAGTTCAAATCCAACCTCAGACACTTCCTAGCTGTGTGACCCTGGACAAGTCACTTAACCCTGTTTGCTTCAGTTTCCTCATCTGTAAAATGAGTTGGAGAAGGAAATGGCAAACCACTCCAGTATCTTTGCCAAGAAAACCCCCAAAGGTATCATAGAATCAGACATGACTGAAAACGACTAAATAACGACAACAAAATACTACAGAAGAGGGATTAGATTTATTCTATCCAGTAAAAACTAGGTCCAAGAGTTAGAAGTTACAAGGAGGCAGATCTTGGCTTGAAATAAGAAATACTTCCTAACCTCTAAAACCTCCAAAAGGGGAGTCAGCTATCTTGCGAGGTGGGAAGTGCTCATCACTAGAGGTATTAATGACCCCTTGCACACAGTGACTCTAATAAATGCTCACTGAATTGAACTGCATCCTTCCATCAGGTATATTGTAGATAGGACACATGTTTCAGATGGGATTAAACTAGATAAACTCAGAGGTTCTTCCAACTCTACAAGTTGATATTTTTGGGAATGGAATATTTAGTATAAACATTTTAAAAGCACCAAGTGGGCTGACCCTCATGGGGACTCTATCTCTGCCTTCACTTGGGAGTCCCAGAAGGAGGCACTGACTGGTTCTGAGATTCTGCTATTAGCTCTACTATCCAGAAGGGGACAAAATGTGAGACAACAGGAAGAAGGCAGCAGTAGCCCAGGAAGTAAGAAACAAAGGTCAAGGACAAAACAAGCAGAAGTAGCAAAGAGAAATAAGAGGAACAGAAGAAGTTTAAAAACAAAAAAACAAAAACCACCCACTGGAGCAGGATTCCTTTGGCTACAACCTCACACGCTAGCACCATGATCCCTGTCATGACCCCAGTCTATCCTCCTGCCACTGATTTGGCAGTATCTGGTTTCTATGTAGGCTATTGTGACTCAGATGACCTTGAATTTGGGAAGTTCTCCA